TTCAATTATTATTTCTCTGACAATTTTGTGCAGAATATTCTGATGCATGCTCAATCCAACAAAATTAAGTCTCGTCAGTTACTCTGGTTTCTTTTTTTGTTGTTGAACTGTTTGAAAAGTTTTGAACCACTTTGTCCATGGCTGCCTCAGAGAAACCATCTTATCACCATCAAACTGGTTGGTCCACGATGCAAGTGTGCTTGAGTTTGTTGTGGCTCCTCGGACTGATGAAGTCCATCCATCCATTATCTTTACCCGCTTATTCCATTTTGGGTCACGGGGGTCGCTGGTGCCCATGTCCAGCAATCACTGTGCGAGGGACGGGGTACACCCTCGACGGGTCGCAAGTCCATCACAGGGACACATAGAGACAAACGAGACAACCAACCATTCACTCTCTCACTCACACCTAGAGACAATTTAGTGTTATCAGTCAGTCTAACATGCATGTTTTTGGTCTGTGGGAGGAAACCGGAGCACCCGGAGAAAACCCACGCATGCACAGAGAGAACATGCAAACTCCACCCAGAAAGGCCCCTGGACCGGGGTTTGAACCAGCGACCTGTTCGCTGAGAGGCAGCAGCTCTGCCAGTTGCGCCACCGTGCTGCCACTGATGAAGTCCTTTGGATGAAAGATGAAAAATTTTAACTGAACAACCATCCAGAGGACCTGACTTAACTTTGGATTTTTTTACCTGGATTATTGAACATTAAGTTTGTCTAAAAGGTTCCGCTTGAAACAATTCAAGGTGGAAAATTGGAATGAAAAATAAACAGTAGTGGTCACACCCTCCAGTTTGAAAACCGCTGGTTTAATTAAATCCGTCAGCTAAAACACCAGAGAGCCAGTGAGGCTGCTGTTCTTATTTCTTTAATAAATACAGAAAACTTTAAGACTAAAAATGAAATAACCAGCAGCCACATTTATTCTTGGATTAAATGTGGTTGTTGTGCAGAAAGTGAGGTCTTTGTTGCGTCAGGCAGCATCTGACAGACTGGAAAACTCCTACGTTACAAACATGTTTCTAAACAGTCACTGGAAGACGAGCTGAGACTTACTGGGTTACAGTATTCTTGTCACAATTTCATTTATTACTACAATAAAAGTTATGGCATAATTCTCATCCCGACCACCGTACAGATGTCTCTGGACTGAGGAGCGCTGCATTCACTGAAGAAAACATCTGTATTCTTGGAAATCTCATTGAAAAGTTTTACAGTGCAGGAACGGAAACTGTGCAGAATAAAACGTTTTCTCAATATATCAAACAATACAATCTCAATATTATTGAACTAGAAGTCTTTAAAAAAATTAATTCATGAGCTGATTTAGTGAAAACTGTTTATTTTTAAATTACTTGGAACAATTCAAACAAAATAGAAGCAGTTTTTCTACTAAACAAATGTTGGTGTTTATGTTTACAGTATGAAAAGAGGCTAAAATTGCAAGAGTCAGTTACACGTTTCCACTTGGACATATATACACGGTACAGTATATACACTCAAATGAAATACTGTAAGTACAGTCTGCAAGCACTGGAATGTGTCCACCGTGTTCCTGTCAGAGTGCCTCCAGAAAGGCTCGTTGTTCTGGGTAGGACAAAATAAAATGTTCAAATCCAAAACGAAGTTAGAAAAACTAAAGTACAGCAGAGAAACCTCAGCATGGAGCAGGCACACTCGTGCTCACAGTTGGGGCAGTTTATCGACGGGCGTGTCAAACTTGAAGTCCGGAGGGAAAAGTTCTGCAGCTCGTGGGTAGATGAGTCGGTACGACTGCCTGATCGTGACGTCTGCAACTCCTGCGATGTCTCCGATTTCTGTGAAGGAACAGAAAAATAAACATGTCAGATCTAAATTATGGGATTTTAAAGAACCAGAAGAGTTCAGGAGCAGGACCCAGCTGGACCCATGCTTCACCAACTGGCCCACACAGGAATGTTCCTTCAATTCTTGTAAACGGCACCATTTCTAGAAACTCTTTCATCCACACAGAAAACGACTCAAAAAGCCTGGTCTATCTGACTGGATGGACTGTCGGGACTCTGACTTGGGTCTCTGTAGAAAAACTGATTCATGTTAAAAGTTCTGATTGCTTAAACTCCAACTCTGCCTGTAAATGAGCTCCTTCTGTGGAAAATAGCTGACTTGTGGGTTTTTCACATAGAGCGAGGGTCCACCTGTTTAGTTTCAGCACAGATGAAGGTCCACGGTGCAGCTGAGCTGTCACTCACCTTTCTGGGTCTTCTTCTCAGCAGAGGCCTGGGAGGCCATGTAGATGGCTGCTGCAGCCACTGAGATGGGGCTCCTGCCGGGCACCAGGTCCAGCTCCACAGCCTTCCTTGCGATGAAGGTGGCAGCCATTTGCACCTGTTTGGGTAAGCCGAGGTTGGAGCAGAAGCGGGACATGAAGTCGCCCGTCGTGATGAGGTCCACACTGGTCTCCAGTGCCTTCAGGATCAGCTTGAAGCACCGACCAATCTCTTTCTTTGAAATCCTGGAGACGGCGCAGATCTCTGGAGGGGAGGGACAAAAACAGGTCTGGTTTTTCTTGTCAGAAAATAATAATTCCACCTAAACGTTACACAAGTGCACCAAAATCTCTTACTAGAACATAAGCATTTGTCTTTTATTACAAGTTATTAAAAAGGATATTTCAGCCATTAAGTGAGGCTCTGTAGAAAAGTCATCAACAATATCTTGCCTGCTGCAGACAGCTCTTTACATCTTGTTTTTAGAAATAGTTAAATACATAAATGTCATTTTCAAGAGCAAAAAGAAGATGCTGCTAGCTGTAGCTCTTCCAGTGCAGCCTGGAGTTTATTCTGGCAGAAATATCATTAGACACATTATACACTCATCATCTTACTTATGTATTTTTTTCAAATTTTATTTTTTTTATATTTTATTTTGAAGGTCTTCCTGCCACTGACTAACATTTTCCTATGACAGAGCTGGGCACTCAAGGCTCCCAACACCCTACCCCTCATGGGGGCAGGTGTTTGTGACACAGAGGCGATGCCCTCAGATGTACAAGGCCTTTTGCTCACGGTTTTAAATACCCAACCATAACTCCACCCACTCTGTCATCATGTGACCAGAAGTCTAACCTGAATGACCAACGAGGAACTCTCAAGGACCATCCCCCCCAAGATGGACATGAATCAATTTCTTCAGATTGTTCCCTTGTTGTTTACTGTATTTTGCGCTTCATGCACAGACCTGTTCATTTGTTCAGAGATAATGGAAAACGCACAGAGAATTTCTTATGACGCAGCTTTCATGTTAAAAGCGATCGATCAGCTGTCGAGGAGGAAACAGCTGCAGCTCGTAAGCTGCGACGTGTCGATGGTCGGGCACTGGAGACGCAAAACAGTCAAGTCTGGTACATGTTTTAATAAAAGTTTTAAATTCTTTGTGTCGATAAATATGTGTTTAAATACTGGGGTCTCATTTTAAACTCTCATCCGAACACGAAGCGGAGAAACAAGTCGTCCCCCCCCCCACACACTTTCCATCCATGAGAGATCAAAGGTGGAGAAGTTGTCAATTTATTTTTAAAAAGTCAATCAGTCAAGATTAATACATATTTAAATAAAAGTTCTATTTTTTTTTATTCTGTGTACACAATAAATATGTGTTTAAATACCAGTATCTCATTTAAACTTAAACAGGGACATTAAACAGAACGGAGGAGACGGGGGGGAGAGAAGGGGGGGTTTATCGTCCTCATGAGCTCTGATGAACTGAAATCACATCAAATTTATTCAGGAAGTACATTTAAAAACAGCAACTGTTAAAAGTGTTTACCAATAAAAATCAATGGTATTAATTTAATTAATATTTACCACAATTTACTGGTACTATTTGACTTCTGGTCACATGACCTCGATAAGAATTCTGGGTAGTATTTACAGGTAAATAATTTCAGTTACATAGGTGTTTGGCACTGTTCTGTCCAGTGATTATGCTGAGATAGTTATTGTGTTCATTTTGAAGGTATAAAGGTTGTAACCATGAGTCACACAGAGAAGCTTCATGAAGACTCTGATGATCTTGCAGTCTGAGTGTGTGTTGAAAACAAGTTGTATTCTGTAAATATCCTGATGCATGCTCAATAATCCAGGTAGAAATTAGGTATTCTGTAAAGCTCCATCTGCTGGCTGGTTCCTGTACTACAACAAGACAGCAGCTCACAGCTGGAGCAGACTGGGGGCACAGATCCCGGTATGTAGATTTTAAAAAGTGTTTATAAACCCAAACATCCTCTTTATAAAGCCATAATAAGCCCTTTATAAAGCCATAATAAGCCCTT